TGTGCGGTGCGAGGTAGTGCCGCGTTTGGAGGTCCCGACGGCGAGCGGGGGGACGGGGATGGAGCCGAAGGAAGGCAGGCGCCGGAGCCGTGGGGGTGGAAGGTGGAGGGGGCAACTGCTCTAACGGACGACGCTGCGGCGCAGTTCTCTCCACCGCGCCCCGGGCCCCTGGTGCTCACCTCGGGGAGGGGATGGCCGCATCAGCTGCGGTCTTTCTGCGACTGCCGCCTTTACTCCGAGGTGGAGCGGGTGTGGCAGATGGTCTAGGGCGACCTGGACGAGTCGTTTGGCACGCACGGCGGAGCAAACTCCGCGCCTGTGCGGCGTGGCTTGACCGGGACGTCCGGGATCGGGAAGTCGGTGGCGGCCGGCGCCTACCTCCCCTACCAGCTGCTGCACCACGACGCCGAGCAACTCCCGCGGTTGCGTACTTCGTTGGGGGGCAGTGTTTTCTGTTTGACAAGGCCACCAAAACGATGTCGCGCCTCCCTCGGTTGGGCTCGTCGGCGGAGAGTTTTCTGCAGGTCGCCACGCGCACGAGGGGGTACATCATCTGCGACGTGATGTGGGGAAAACGGCAGGCGTTGTCCGTCCAACTCCCCCCTGCCGGCCGGAGCATGCCCGCGGTGCCGCCCCCAGAAGAAACTCGCTACAGGGAGTGGGAGGATGAAACGGGCGCCCGCCGCGTCATCATGGACTGCCCCGACGAGAGAGATGTATGGGCGATGCGTGCTTGGCCGATGCGAGAACGCCCTGCGGAGGAGCAGGTGAAGTACTGGGAGGGCGTCTAAGAGGGCGGGGCTCTTGCGGGCCCAATTCAGCGCAACGTTTTGGGCGGGCGCTGGCATAAGCTTGCGGTTGGACAGGAGGGGGCGATGGAGGGACCCACGGCATGGGCCGTCAATTGCTACGTCGGGCTCGACAAAACGGATTTGTGGTGCTGCCGCGTTCCGACTGAAGATTTCTCGAAGATGGTCCGGGTGGTGACGGGGCGGGGGACGGAGTGCTTCCAGAACGCCCCGGCTTCTGCTGCGGTCAAGGCCGACGTGTTGGTGCGCGTGGCGAGGGCGATGCGGACGCGCGCCGGCTTCATGACGGTGCCGATGCCCCATCATGTGCTGCTGCCGTCCGCCGCGGGGGTGCACGCAATAGGCGCGTTTACGTACCCGGGATTTGTGGGCAGGATGCGGCGCCAGCGGCGGCCGCGTCATTGCGGGCTCGGAAGAGATGCCGGAGGTGTAGTTTTCTTCCTCGCCGCAGCGTGGAGTCCCCCTCGCGTCCTTCAGGCACTGCTGCCTTCATTTTTCCCTCCTTCGTAGTCGTTGTCGGCTTGAGCTGCGGCAGAACACCGACCACCAGCCAACACGAGAATCAGAGGGGTGAGAAAGGCAAAAAAACGGGCACGCAGGCGCACGACCCCACGCAGCCGCACCCAGAGAGAGCGAAGGGTGGGAGAGGGGGCGCCGCCACGGCTCCAGCTGTGCCATGGCGCCGGGGGCCGCCACATCCCCCGCTGTTTTCTCGCAGCGGGGCGTCTCCCCTCCCGGGCGCGTGTGCGCCGGCTCCTTGCGGCTCGGCCTCGTCGGAGGCGGCCGCCACAAGCGTTGTTTGGGGGAACGTTCCTCCGCCACCATCACGGCGCCCGGCCCCCCACCATCGAAGGGGCTTTGGGGCACCGAAGCGGTGGATCCACGTCCCTGTGGCGCTTCCCAACTCGTATTGCCGCCGCGGATGCGTGGGACAGGATGGGGCTCGGCGGCGCCCCGGGGCGGCCCAGCCGACTGGCAAGCGGGACTGCCCTTGTTGCGCGCGACCCGGTACCTGGGCGCGGGAGTTGCCCGTCGGTCCCCGCCGAGTTAGTAGCGGCAAGAGGCGGATTGGGTGCCGCTTTGATTACACTGAGCAGCGGCGCAAGCACAAAGGTTCGCGGCGGCAACGTGAATGCAGTTTTGCAACTTGTGGGTCGCAGGAATTAAACGACACGCAGTGGCGACGCATGCAGGACACACGCGGTGACAAAGAAACGAATCAGTGGTTGTCTGGAAGAGAAACAACCTCGGCAGAGAAAAGGTTTGCGGGGAAAGCGCGGAAATCTGAAAGAAGAGGAAAAGGGACAAGAACAAAAGTTATGACAAATTCGCAATACCTCAGTAGAGAGAGAGGGGGAGAGGGCAGAAGGAGGCACCACGGCGGGGAAGAGGCGTATTGTCAGTTGCTGCACGTCAACCCGCAGCAGGGGAGAGGGGGTGGGGACAAGAGAGCCCGCCGGCCGCACTCACACGTCGTAAATGAATCGCACTAAAGGGCAGATGCTGAAGATGGAGCTTTAAAAGGAAAGGGGGAAAAAATGCGGGGCCTACGAGTCAAGGTGCCATCCCCGCAAGGAATGGCAGCATATATATATATATATATATGATTCTTGCTTTCGCTCGCTTCGTCACATTATTATTATTATTATTATTATTATTATTTTTTT